GCCACACGCCATTGTAGGCAGTCCTGTCATTCCATCTCCTCCATAAACTTTTCAAACTCAGTCTTGAAGCCAGTTAGGTTTTTTTGCCCCCACTGCTCCCCTTGGAAGGCTGTTCCAGAACTTCCCTCTTCTGATGGCTAGAAACCTTCAACTGATTTCGAGCCTAAACTTGTCGATGGCCAGTTTATAGCCATTTGTTCTTGTGTTCACATTGGTGCTTAACTTAAATAACTCCTCTATCTCCCTGGTATTTATCCCTCTGATGTATTTATACAGAGCAATCATATCTCCCCTCAGCCTTCTTTTGGTTAGGTCAAACAAGCCAAGCTCTTTGAGTCTCCTCTCAAAAGGTAGGTTTTCCATTCATCTGATCATCCTAGTAGCCCTTCTCTGCACCTGTTCCAGTTTGAATCCATCTTTCTTAAACATGCGAGACCAGAACTGCACACAGTAGTCCAGATGAGGTCTCACTAGTGCCTTGTATAGCACTTCCCTGTCTCTACTGGAAATACCTCACCTGATGCATCCTAGGACTGCATCCCTTTTCACGGCCCCATCACATTGACAGCTCATAGTCATTCTGTAATGAACCAATACACACAGGTCTTTCTCCTCCTCTGTCACTTCCAACCGATACGTCCCCAACTTATAGCAAAAATTCTTGTGGTTATTCCCTAAATGCATGACCTTGCATTTTGCACTAGTAAATTTCATCCCATTTCTATTACTCCAGTTTACAAGGTCATCCAGATCTTCTTGTACTATATTCTGGTCCTCCTCCAAATTGGCATTACCTCCCAATTTTGTGTCATCCGCAAAACTGATAAATAAGATTGGTCCCAGGACCGATCCCTGAGGAACTCCACTAGTAATCTCCCTCCAGCCTGACAGTTCACCTTTCAGCATGACCCATTGTAGTCTCCCCTTTAACCAGTTCCTTATACACCTTTCAATTTTCACATTAATCCACATCTTCTCCAATTTAACTAATACTTTCCTATGTGGAACTGTATCAAATGCCTTACTGAAATCCAGGTAGATTAGATCTACTGCCTTTCCTTTGTCTAAAAAATCAGTTATCTTCTCAATATAACTTCTCATGGTCTGGCACGCTCTACCTTTTGTAAAACCATGTATTTTATTCAAATTACCATTCATCTCTATGTCCTTAACTACTTTCTCTTTCAAAATTTGTTCCAAGACCTTGCATACAATTGCGATCAAACTAACAGGCCTGTAGTTTCCTGGATCACTTTTTTCCCCTTTCTTAAAAATAGGAACTATATTAGCAATTGTCCAGCCATAGGGTATGAACCCCAAGTTTAGATTCATTAAAAATCCTCGTTATTGGGCTTGCAATTTCATGTCCCAGTTCCTTTAATACTCTTGGATGGAGATTATCTTCTCCCGTCCCACCCCACCGATTTAGTCCCAATAAGCTGTTTGAGTCTGACTTCCACCTTGGATGTGGTAATTTCTACCTCCATATCCTCATTGCCATTAGCAACCCTGCCACCACCCCAAGCTCTTCATAAGGGGGTGTTATCCTAGTGGCGAGTTAGCCTGCATATTGAAGGTTTGAGGTAGGTAGGAGTCTCAGGGGTAGCTGAGTCCATGGAAGAAAAAACGGTTACTAACCTTTTGTAACTGTTGTTCTTTGAGAAGTGTTGCTCATGTCCATTCCATGCTAGGTGTGTGCATGCCGTGTGCACTGTGGCCGGAAATTTTTCCCTTAGTAGTATCTGTTGGGTTGGCTCTAGCGCCCTTTGGAGCCGTGTGCATATGCGCTGGTATAAGGGGTGCTGCTGGCTCCACACAGCCTCTCAGTTCCTTCTTGCCAGTAACTCGGACAGAGGGGTAGGAGGGCAGGTCATGGAATGGACATGAGCAGCACATCTCGAAGAACAACAGTTAAGAAAAGATTGGTAACTGTTTTGCCTTCGAGTGCTTGCCCATGTCCATTCCATGCTAGGTGACCCACAAGCAGTACCTCATGAGGTGGGCTCAGAGTTCATGGACTTGCTGAGTGCAACACTGCTCTCCTGAAATGGGCATCGTCACAGGCCTGTTGGGTGATGACCTAGTGGGATGCAAAGGTATGGGCCGACGACCAGGTCACAGCTCTGCAGATGTCCTGGATTGGGACCTGCGTGAGGAAGGCTGCTGACAAAGCCGGGGCTCTTGTGAAATGAGCAGTCACAATGGCTGGCAGTAGGATGTTGGCCTGTTCGTAGCAAGCCCAAATACAGGCAGTTATCCAGGACGAGATTCTCTGGGTTGACACAGGTAGCCCTCCCATTCTTTCTGCTATTGCTACAAAGAGTTATGTGGACTTGCAGAAGGGCTTAGTCCTCTCAACATAAAAGGCGAGGGCCTGCCTAACATCCAACATATGAAGCTGACATTCCTCAGAGGTCTTGTGAGGTTTTGGGAAGAAGACAGTAGAAAAATGACCTAGTTGGAGTGGAATTGTGACACCAGCTTTGGCAGGAAGGCCGGATGGTGGCGCAATTGGATCTTGTCCTTGAAGAACACCGTGTAAGGTGGCTCTGACGTAAGGGCCCTGATCTCAGAGACCCTTCTGGCTGAGGTTATCGCCAGCAGAAAGGCGACCTTCCAGGGGAGAAGTAGCAGGGAGCACAATGCTAAGGGCTTGAAGGGGGGGACCCATAAGCCTCGACAGGACCAGGTTTAAGTCCCATGGAGGCCCAGTTCACGAATCTGAGGATAGTCTTTCCAAACTCTTGAGAAACTGGATGGTCATTCCGTGGGAGAACACGGCTCTGCCATTCACTGGGGGGATGGAAGGCCAAGATGGCTAATAGATGAGAGGGCCAGACTTTGCTGCTTAAGGTGGAGCAAACTGTCCAAGATAGACTGAAGAGAAGACTGGGTGGGAGAGAGATCCTGTTCGGAGGCCCAACAAGTGAAACACTTCCACTTGGCCAAGTAGGTAGCCCTGATGGAAGACTTTCTACTACCTAGCCAAGATCTGCCAAACCTGTTCCGAGCAGGCCTGTTCTTCAGGGTTCAGTCATGCAGCATCCATGCAGTTAGGTGCAGGGAGGTTCAGTTCACATGAAGCAATTGGCCGTGGAAATTGTGAAATCAAGTCTGGGCAGGGTGGAGCTATCACCAAGAAGTCCAAAAGTGTACCGAACCAATGTTGCACGGCCACAACAGTGCTATCAGGATAACTCTTGCCTTGTCCCATGTGATTTTTAGGAGAACCTTGTGAACCAAGGCAATCATTGTAAAGATGTACAGTAGGTGTCCTGCCCACAAGAGCAGGAAGGCGTCAGAGAGGGAGCCTGTACTGTGCCCGTGCAGTGAACAGAACTGATGCCATTTTCTGTTCTGCCTGGTGGTGAATAGGTTCATGTGGGGAGGCCACCACTTTTGGAAGATGACACTGATGACCTCCAGATGAAGAGACTTCTTGTTGTGAGAGGAAAAGGATCTTCTGAGGTGACCCGCCAATATGTACGGAGATGAGACGCCTCGAGATGAATGGAGTGTCTCGCACAGAAATCCCCATAGAGCGATGGCCTCCTAACACTGGGCAGAGGATCAGGCCTCTCCTTGCTTGTTGATATAGAACATGGCTGCAGTATTGTCTGTCAGGACTTGAACCACCTTGCCTGAGACATGGGGAAGGAATAATGGCAAGCCAGATGTACTGCCCTGAGCTCCCTGATGCTTATGTGCAGGGTGAGTTTTTCCCGGGACCAGAGGCCCTGAGTCCTGAGGTTGCTGAGGTGGGCTCCACACCCTAGGTCTGACACATCTGAGATTAAAGACACCAATGGTTGTGTGGTAACAAAGGGTATCCCCATCATTACTGATCTTGACTCCTTCCACCAGCCCAGGAGGTGAGGACCAGGCAAGGGACTGTAAGTACTGAGTCCAAGTGGGGTCTGCTCGGGGAGTATACTGGTGCTAGCCACATCTGGAGGGGTCTGGCGCAGCCTTGCATATTGAACCACGTAAGTGCAAGCCACCATGTGATCCAATAGCTTGAGGTAGACCTGAGCTGTTGTGATTGGGTGGTCCATGACCTTGGTATCAGGTCTGGAAGCGGGCCTCCGGCAGGAAGACCCTAGCTTGAGTCAAGTCGAGCTCTGCTCCAATAAATTCTATTCTCTGAACCGGGGCAAGAATTGACTTCTGCTCATTGGTCAGCAGACCCAGCACTCTGGAGGTGGCTCGGAGCATGCTGATGCTGTTCTGTACCTGAGCCTGCAACGGACCTTTGATCAGCCAGTTGTCGAGGTACAGGTAGACCTCGACACTTCACCGCCTGAGGAAGGCTGCTACAACTCCATACACTTTGTGAAAGCCCACAGGGCTGCAGATAGACCGAAGGGAGGGCAATGAATTGATAATGGCGTTGACCCACTACAAACCTGAGAAATATTCCATGGCCACAGATGATAGAAATGTGAAAGTACGTGTCCTTTAAATTGAGGGCAGCATACCAGTCTCGTGGGTCCAGGAAGGGAATGATGGAGGCCAGGGAGACCATGAGAAACCTCAGTTTCTTGAGATATCTGTTGAGGTGAGACAGGTCCAGGATGAGCCGGAGCCACCCTTTTGGATTAGGAAATACTGGGAATAAAACCCCTTCCCTCTCAAGTCTTGAGGAACTTCCCCCATAGGTAGGAGGGATTGTGCCTCCTAGACAAGGAGCTACTCATGAGAAGGGTCCCTGAAGAGGGACAGGGATGGGGGTGGAAAGAAACTGAAGGGTATATCTGACTGTCACTGTGCTCAGGACCCATTGGTCTGATGTTATGGATGCCCAAGCTGGGCTGAAGAGCGACAGATGGTCCAAAAATGAAGGGGGGGTGGATCTGAAACGGTGACTGGTACAGTGCCCTCGGGCACTCCTTCAGAAAGCCTACTTGGGCTCACCGGAGTATCTCTGACCCCCCAACTGGTAGGCTGAGGTGGACGGGTGTGGTTGGCATCGTTTATAACCTCTGCCTTTGCTTTTGTAGGGCTCCTCTCTTGGAGCTGCCGAGAACCAAGGAGGCTGCTGGAGCCTGAAGCGCTTTCTGGAGGCAGGTGGCGCATACAGGCCTAAAGGTCATAGAGTGGCCCTCGAGTCCCTCAAGTCTCATGTCTGTCTGCTCTGAGAATAGGGAGGAGCCTTCAAATGGGAGGTCCTGGATGGACTCTTGGACCCTGTGGGGAAGGCCAGAGGATTGGAGCCAGGAACTGCGCCTCATGGTGACCACGGAGGCCGTTGTCCAGGCCGCCAAGTCAGCAACGTCCAGCACTGTCAAGATCCTGGCCGACTTTTTACCCTCTTCTAAGAGCACGGTGAACTCCTGTCTCGACTCTTGGAGCAGGAAGTCTTTCAATTTATTCAGGGAGTCCCAGAGAATAAAATCACATCTCCCCAGCAGAGCCTGCTGATTGGCAACACACAGTTGGAGGCTACCCATGGAATAAACCTTTCTTCCAAAGAGTCCGGTTTCTTAGCATCTTTTTGTTGCAGGGTAGCACTCAACTGGCCTTGCTTCTCCCTTTCGTTCGCTACAGACCCCACCAGTACAGGTAATTGAACCTGCTTGCTGGCACATACTACTTCTTCTGTGCTCTCTTGAAGTGGGGCCAGAGAAGGAGTCTGCCATAGGGCCTGGACTGGCCCCGTCACAGCCTCATGGATGGGCAGGGCAACCTTGGATGGAGCTGCTGCAGCCAAGATATCAATAAGGCTGGGCGATGTATCTTTGAGCTCCTCAATTTCCAAACCAAGGTTTGAAGTGATCCACTTCAGAAGGTCCTGGTGGGCCTTGAAATTGCCCTGGGGCAGTAGGCTGCTGGGACCCACAAGGGAAAAATCTCCAGCAACAGCGCATGCGGCGGGTACACACCTAGCATGGAATGGACATAAGCAAGCACTCAAAAGGAGAATATTTTGGGAGGGAGAGTTCCCCCAAGTTTGCCTGGCAGGGGACCCACTGTTAGCCCCCCTGCCTCCTCCCAAGTATGTAAAGCCAAGACACACACTATCGTCCTTCTGTCCCATGGTGAGGATCCCTATAACCACAACACACACACACTCACTGCCTTCTCTCACAGCAAGGGTCCATACAGCCAGAACACACAAACACATTCACCCTCGTGTCTCACAGGGAGGGTCCATACAATCAGAACACACATATACATCCCCCGTCATGTGTGTTGGTGAGGGTCCATATATCAGACTCCCCCCTCCCCCACACTCATGTCTCCCTGCAAGGGCCCCTATAGCCAGGAAACACATATACTGACCCTCGTATCTCACAGCGAGGGTTCCGGAAGCCAGACCGCACACACATACATACACATACACACACAGACCCTCGTATTTCCCAGTGAGGATCCATATATCCAGAACAGCCACACACTCACCCTCACGTCCCACAATTAGGATCCCTATAGCCAGAACACACACACACACACACACTCACCCTTATGTCTCAAAATGAGGGTTCCTACAGCCAGAACATACACACTCTCATGTCCCATGGCGAGGGTCCCTATAGCCAGAACATACACACATGCACACACACACACACACTCGCCATAGTATCTTGCGGCTAGGATAGGGTCCCTATAGTCATAACACACACATACTCTTGCCCTCATGTATCTTGGTGAGGATCTAATATCCAGAACACACATACACACACACTAGTGTCCCACACTGAGGGTCCCAATAGCCAAAACACACACACACCTGCCCTTGTGTCCCACAGCAAGGATCCCTATACTGAGAAGATACACACCCGACCTCATGTCTTGCAGCAAGGATCCATTTAGCCAGAACACACACGCACACCCTTGTGTATCGTGGTGACAGTCCTTATAGCCAGAACACACACTCAACATAGTATCTTACGGCAAGGGTCCCTATACTCAGAACATACACATACACTAGCCCTTGTGTGTGTCGGTAAGAGTCTATATATCCGGAACAGAACACAAACACACTTAAACCTCATGTCTTGTGACAAGGGTCCCTATTGCTAGAACACTCACTCACCCTTATGTCCCATGGTGAGGGTCCCTATAGCCAAAACATACATACACACACACACACACAGGCCTTCATGTCTCTCAGCGAGAGTCCATGTATCCAGAACACATACACACACACACTCGTCTCTCACAACAAGGGTCCCTAGAGCCAGAACAATCACACACTCACCCCTTATGTCTCACAGCAAGGATCCCTATGGCCTAAACACACACTCCATCTTCTGTCACAGCAACAGTCCCTAAAGCCAAAATACATACACATTAGTCCTCGTGTATCACGGCAAGGGTCCATATAGCCAGACCACACCCACTCCCACACTCACCCTCTTGTCTCACAGCAAGGGTCCCTATAGTCAGAACACACACGCTCGCCGTAGTATCTTGCGGCCAGGGTCCCTACAGTCATTCACCCTCATGTGTGTCAGTGAGAGTCTGTATAGTCAGAACACACACACTCAGTCATCCTCATGTCTCGCGGCACACACACACACTCACACTCACTCGTGCCTCATGGCAAGGATTCCTATAGCCGGAAAACACACACACTCACCCTTGAGTCTCACAGCAAGAGCCCCTATAGCCAGAACACACATGTGTACTTGCCCTTGTGTTTCATGTGAAGGGTCCATATACACAGAACACACACACATATTTGCCCTCATGTTTTACAGTGCGCACACACACAGACACACGCTCGCCCTCAAGTGTTATGGCAAGGGTCCCTATAGCCAACACACACACAAACACTTGCTCTCATGTGTGTCGGTGAGGGTTCATATATCCAGAACACACACACACACATCTCATGGCAAGAGTCGCCTATAGCCAAATCGCACACACATCACCCTCTTCTCTCGCAGCAAGGGTCCCTATAACTAGAACACACACATGCACTCACCCTGATGTTTCACACAAAAGGTCCATATATAAAGAACACACACTCGCCTTCATGTTTTACAGCATGCACACACACACACACACACACAATCACTCATCTTCGAACCTCATGGCAAAGGTCCCCATAGACAGAACACACAATCTTGTCTGCTAGCAGCATTCCCATAGGAGGAACCCACACACGGTCACCCTCGTTTTTTGTGGCGAGGGTCCCTATAACTAGAATGCACACTTGCCATCCTGTCTTATCTGAGGGGTCCATATATCCAGAGCACACACACACTCGCCCTCGAGTCTCAGAGTGAGGGTCCTATAGCTGAAACACACACTCGCCATAGTATCATCCTGCGAGGGTCCCTATAGTCAGAACATACACATTGTGACAAAGTTCCTCCTACACCTTGGTGGGTCTTGCACTTATTGGCGGATTTGCTCGCCTTGGAGCTTCACGGCAGCCCTCAGCTTGGCCGTTTTTCTGAATTCACAGTCCAGGTCGACTCCTCCTGTGTCTGACCAGGAGTTGGGAGGATTTGCGGGGAACCCGGGCCTGACCTCTACTCCGGGTTCCAGCTCAGGGCCCTGTGGAATGCAGCTGTCTAGAGTGCCTCCTGGAACAGCTGTGTGACAGCTACAACTCCCTGGGCTACTTCCCCATGGCCTCCTCCCAACACCTTCTTTATCCTCACCATAGGACCTTCCTCCTGGTGTCTGACTATGCTTGTACACCTCAGTCCTCCAACAGTCCGCGTTCTCACTCTCAGCTCCTAGTGCCTCTTGCTCCCAGCTCCTCACACGCACACCACAAACTGAGCTCCTTTTTAAAACCCAGGTGCCCTGATTAGCCTGCCTTAATTGATTCTAGCAGCTTCTTGATTGGCTGCAGGTGTTCTAATCAGCCTGTCTTAATTATCTCCAGAAGGTTCCTGATTGTTCTGGAACCTTCCCTGTTACCTTACCCAGGGAAAAGGGACCTACTTAGCCTGGGGCTAATATGTCTGCTTCTATTACTCTCCTATAGCCATCTGGTCCAACCCTGTCACAACATATACAAGCTCTCATGTGTGTCAGTGAGGGTCCATATATCCAGAACACACACATACACTTGCCCTTGTGTCCAACAGCAAGGATCCTTATAGCTAGAACACACACATACACATGCCTTGAGACAAGGATCTCTATAGCCAGAACACACACATATACACACACTTACACTGCTGTCTGGCATCGAGGATCTCTATACCCAGAACACACACACACACACACACACACTCTGTGGTCTTGCAGCGAGGGTCCCTATAACCAGAACACACACACACACCCTCATTCCTCAAGGGCGAAAGTCCAAATAGCCTGATCACTCACACATGCCTGTTATCTGACTGCAAGGATCCATCTTATCCGGACACACACATAAACCCCCTTGTGTCTCACTCTGATGATCCTTACCAGCAGGACATACTTACACACCCTTGGGTATCACTGCTAGAGTCCATACACTAGGATACACACAGACACCCTCACATCTCATTTGGAGGGTCCATATTGCTGGGACACACACATCCTCACGCATCAGCATGACGGTCCATTCTTCTGGGATGCAAATGCACACCTTTGTGTCTGAGTATGAAGGTACATACTGCCAGGATACACATACGCTCTCCAGTCTCACTGTGGGGGGCTATACTGCTTAGACACATACACACATACCTTCCTGTCTGATTGCGAGGGTCCATACCAGCAGGAGACACATGCATCCCCTCGTATTTCGCTGTAAAGGTCTGTACCGCTAGGACACACACACACACCCCATCCTGAGTGCAAGGGTCCATACCACCAGGCCTCACGGACACTCTTGTAACTCACTGCAAGAGACCACACCACCAGAACACATATGCACATCCTTGTATCTCAGCGTGAGGGTCCATACTGATTGGACACTCTGAGCTTTAAGACCCAAGGGCATACACGTGAGTGGATCAACAGGAAACACAAACACCCCTCTTGTCTCAGTGAGAGGCTCATACCACTGGGACACAAGCGTAGGCCCTCAAGTTTGCGGACGATTCCAAGCTGGGAGGGGTTGCAAGTGCTTTGGAGGATAGGATTATAATTCAAAATGATCTGGACAAACTGGAGAAATGGTCTGAAGTAAATAGGATGAAATTCAATAAGGACAAATGCAAAGTACTCCACTTAGGAAGGAACAATCATTGCACACATACAAAATGGGAAATGACTGCCTAGAAAGGAGTACTGCGGAAAGGATCTGGGGGTCATAGTGGACCACAAGCTAAATAAGAGTCAACAGCATAACGCTGTTGCAAAAAAAGCAAACATAATTCTGGGATGTATTAGCAGGAGTGTTGTAAGCAAGACACGAGAAGTAATTCTTCCTCTCTACTCCGCACTGATTAGGCCTCAACTGGAATAGTGTGTCCAGTTCTGGACACCACATTTCAGGAAAGATGTGGACAAATTGGAGAAAGTCCTGAGAAGAGCAACAAAAATGATCAAACGTCTAAAAAACATGATCTATGAGGGAAGA